TGCAAGTACATCCATCCACATACTTAGTCGGTCTTTAAATCTCAAGAGATGAACAGTCCAGTCTTATTAAGAAGTTAGAAGAATTGCTGTTGCTGGGTTAGTCCAAAATCCATCCAGTCCAGCATTCTGTTTTCTGACTGGCTTTATCAGATTTATTTATTTATTTGATTTATATCCCGCCCGCCCTGCTGGAGCAGGCTTACATAAAATGCAGTAGCTAAAACAGCAATATAAGTAAAAGCATAAAAACACAACATAAGATGCTAGTAAACAATTTAAATGGCGATGCCGAAAGCAGGGTAGCATCAACATACTTATAAATGTTGGCTTACATAAAATGCAGTAGCTAAAACAGCAATATAAGTAAAAGCATAAAAACACAACATAAGATGCTAGTAAACAATTTAAATGGCGATGCCGAAAGCAGGGTAGCATCAACATACTTATAAATGTAGTCGGTATTTTACTTTAAAGTCGGCGAAGCTCAGGCTGTCGGTGGTAGTATTGGGCACAGGGCCTTAGTGTGTTGGGCATGGCTCCTTAACTAAAGGCCTGGTGGAAGAGCTCCGTCTTGCAGGCCCCGCGGAACTCTGAGAATCCTACAGACGGGGCATGAGGTTCTCAGACCTTCTTCATCACTTGATTCCAGCAGCTGGTCTTCAGCATTACTGCTTCCAAACATGGATGTTCCATTATCTGTTATTTATTTATTACATCTGTATCCCAGTTGTTGACCATAAAATAGTCCTTGGAGCCAACACCTGTTGGTATTTGTGTGATCATTTTGTTTTTACCATGCTAATTTAGAGAGTTACACACTGCATGAAGAAATGCTTTGTCTTACTTTGCCAACACCTCCTTATTGTTCTACATCAGTTTGGCTGAATAATCATGAACATAATCCAAAGACCTCTTTAGGTGAATGCTAAGAATTATATGGCCCATTGATGGTTCTCCCATTGATGGTTCTCCCCAGCAACAGCACTGGATACATTTGGGGGCTGGCTTGTCCAGCAAAACAGGAATCAAGTTCCAGGGAAAAAAACTGCCCTTAAGTATCTCATACTGAAGTAACAGTCCATAAAGGTCTGAAATCAGTTCTGCCATTTTAAAATTTATTATTTATTGGATTTAGAATCGTTCTACACTGCCTCTTCAGAGTCCTGCTTGAGTAGGCTTTTTTTTACGTCAACAGTATCTTTATATCTAATTCTGAACTAGGCTGTAGAGTGTGGATTAAAAAATCCACAAAATGGAGCCAAGGACAGATGGGGGGAGGGGGTTTCTACAAGACTGAGGGAAGTCCCAAGTGTGCAGAAAAAAACTGTAATCTTAAAAAAAAATATCAGGGGGTGGGAATCCCAACATAATAGAAGGAACATCTATAGCCTTATGTCCAATGAGATTCCCACGAGACTGTTCAAAGATCTTGCTGGCCATGTTGTGGATTGCTAGGCAACCATAACAATATTCCTGAACCTTCCAAGCCTTGGTTTATCTCAAAGAGGGGGAGCAGGGTTCAACTGGGAGGCCAAAACAGCTCTGGTGCCTCTCCTACCACTCCCACTGATGGAGGGAGGACTTAGTGTTTTAATATCTGTGTTTTAATATATTTTTAATCCTTTTAATGTAAGCCTCCCTGAGCCTGCCTTGGCAGGGAGGGTGGGATATAAATCGAATAATTAAAATAAAAAATAAAATAAAATATTAGTAGGTGACTGAGTGACACACTACAGCACAACTTGAGTTACTCAGCCAGGTCCAGCAATAGCCACCATGTGATTTGATCCAGTGACTCACGACTACACACATTATGTGAATTGCCCAGGCCTGGTAGTGGCCATGGCAGGACTTACCTGAATGACTTGCTACCATGCAACTTGTACAACTCAACTGGGCCCTGTGGTGGACACTGCACAACTTGCCTGAGCAATTTCCCATGATGCACCTTGGCCAGGTCTGGTGGCAGCCACCACATCGAGCCAGTTTGGTGTAGTGGTTAGGAGCGCAGACTGTAATCTAGGAGAACCTGGTTTGATTTCCCCACTCCTCCACATGCAGCTGCTGGTGTGACCTTGGGTCAGTCACAAGTTCTTCCAGAGCTGTTCTCTCAAGGGCAGTCCCCGAGAGAGCTCTCTCAGCCCCACCTGCCTCACAGAGTGTCTGTTGTGGGGAGGGGAAGGGAAAGGAAAGGAGATTGTAAGCTGCTCTGAGACTCCTTTGGGTAGTAAAGGGTGCAGTATAAATCCAATCTTCTCTCTCTCGCTTCTCACACAACTCATTCAGGTGACTAACTAGTGCACAACGTTTACAATATGGCTGGATTTGTTGAAAGGGTATCTGAAGGCAGGCATTCATTGTAATGCTCATATGGTCTCCTCTGATTCTGATGGATGCTTCCTGCATTCATACATATCCCCATCCCCAGTAGATGCAACAGGAAGAAGAAGAAGAGATTGGATTTATGCCCCACCCTTCACTTGGAGTCTCAGAGCGGCTTACAAACTCCTTTCCCTTCCCCTCCCCACAACAGATATCCTGTGAGGTAGGTGGGGCTGAGAGAGCTCTGACAGAAACTTCTCTTTTTCAAGAACAGCTCTTATCAGAACTACGTCTTGCCCAAGGTCACCCAGCAGCTGCAAGTGGAGGAGTGGGGAATCAAACCCGGTTCTCCCAGATTAGAGTCCGCGCACTTAACCACTACACCAAACTGAGGTGGATCAGCACCTTTCTGCACAAAGTTATCTCAGACCTGCAATAGTTTGAACAAAGTCTGAGTCCAGTGCATGCACGGGGAAGTTTATACCAAGAATCAAACTTTTTTTGGTCTTAAAGGTGCCACTGGATTCAAACTTTGTTCTATTGCTTCAGACCAGCAGGGCTACCCACTGGAATCTATCGGCAATATTTTGTTACTGTACCAGTTTTTTTAATTTTAATTCTTTTTTTCCCCATCAAGTCAAGCCGACTTCTGGTGACCCCTAGTGGGGCTTGAAGGCAAGAAAGGTTCATTGCCATTGCCTGCCTCTGTGTCATGTCCCTGACATTCCTTGGAGGTCTCCCGTCCAAATACTAGCCAGGGCTGGCCCTGCTCAGCTTCTGATATCTGATGAGATCAGGCTTGCCTGGGCTATCCAGGACAGGGCTGGAAGTGTTTTACGAACTTAGTGCAATCTTTTGCTGAAATGCTGTCATTCGCGTTCCAGTGCATATCTTAGACTGGCTCACAATACTTTGCAATCTGACTCCCCCCCCTCCTTACCTTCCATGATGGTGAGTGGATCTTCCACTTTTGGACGCAGGATATTGGGACCAAACACAGTAGCGAGGTTTTGCACACTCATCTTGTTTACACCAGAATAGGACTGGACTTCGTCCAGGAATCTGTCATGGGGAAAATAGGGAGCACTGTCTTAATACGATCATGGCAGAGCATCGCAGTAAGGATCCCAGCTGATGCATGTTATGCTGAATGTTCCCACACTATGTGGAAAAGTGGAATGGCACAGTTATGTCCTGGGGTTGGCCGAAAGTAATGAGAAAGTGACCACACCTTCCGGCCTGTCTTCATGGTCAGCATGGTCACGCACTATCCCAGGAGCCTAATGAAGACCTGTGCTTTTCACCCATTTAACCAGTATATTTTATCAAATAGGGTTCCCCAAACCGCAGTAACGTCCGAGGCAAATACAGCTGAATTGGGACTTGTGTCCATCTACAGGATGCCATCTTTAACACAATTGGAAGATCAATTCTACAAGCACTTTAATTGTAATAATATCATTGTTTTACCTTGTTTTTATCTGGTTTTATATATTTAATGTATCTCAGCACATAGTGCCGCTAAATGTAAGCCGCCCTGAGCCCGTTCGCGGGGAGAGCGGGATAGAAATCTAATAAAATAAAATAATAAAATAAATAATAACATGGTGCCTGCCAGTATTTCTCTTGGCTCCTGTCAAGCTTTTCAGAAAGTGGGCGGAGTCTTTGTCAGGCAGGACTTTCGATTGGCTGCCCTCATTCAAATGAAAGGGGTTTCCAATGGAGACTGAAGAGGACTAGTCAGCACCTGGGTCTTTCTTAGTCAACGTATGGTTACCTCCTCAGGATTTATTTCCTTCTCAGGAGATGTGAGGAGTATTTGGATCTACCTCCTGTGGTAGCCATTTTGGGGAGGCACTCACCACGCTCTCTCAAAACCCCAAAGGAGCCTGCAGGCTCAAAAAGGCTGTGGATCCCCGATGTAAAACGCTGGGCAAATACACAGTGCAAACCAATGCCGAATAACTCCATCCTAAACCCAGTCCAGTTGTTGAGATACCTCCGTCTTTGGCAGCCATTTTGGGGTGGCACTCACCACCCCATCTCAAACCCCCAAAGGAGCCTGCAGGCTCAAAAAGGCTGTGGATCCCTGATGTAAAACTCTGGGCAAATACACAATGCAAACCAATGCAGAATGACTCCAGCCTAAACCCAGTCCAGTTGTTGAGACACCTCCGTCTTCGAGAACACTGTAGTGACGCCTGCGCTGAGAACTGCCGGAGGATATTTACCTGCAAATATACTTCAACAGGTTGTAGTTGACGACTGGCAAACTCTTTACTTGTTTCACTAACTCGTTCAGCCCCTGAGTGAAGATAAAGAAAAATGCACAAACGTTTGTAGCATCAGAACGATTGCAAAATAAAACCCCCCCCCAATTCAGCACTTAAAACAACCACCCTCCATGTTGAATGTGATGAATTCCAGACGGCCGTAGTGCCAGGATGAACACACTTGGCCAGCTCCACATGTCTTCAGGGCAGTCAGAAAAGGAAATAAATTCACTTGAGCCATTCTCACAAGGGCCAAGCACCTCTGGGATTCCTGGCTGGCCTTAGAGCAAAACATAACATCTAGGGAAAGTTCTCTGAAAAGTTAAGCCAAGTGCAGTGGCTTGGGAGAGATGCTAAGTGTAACGCTGGGAATGTATTTGTCTGTTTTTAATGGACAAATAAAACCCTCTAAAAGTAAAAGTAAAGGTTTCCCTGGCTCGAAAGCTAGTCGAATCCAACTCTAGGGGGCGGTGCTCATCTCCATTTCCAAGCCAAAGAGCCAGCACTGTCTGAAGACGTTTCCGTGGTCACATGGCGCACAGAACGCTGTTATCTTCCCATCAAAGTGGTACCGGTTTATCTACTTGCAATTTCTTGCTTTCGAACTGCGAGGTTGGCAGGAGCTGGGGCTAGAGACGGGAGCTCATTCCATCACGCGGAACACTCGGGTCTCGAACTGCTGAACTACCGACCTTCCAGTCTACTGCTCAGCATCTTAGCCTCTGAGCCACCACGGCCCCTCTAGTGCAATATAAAACCCTCTAGATAAAGGTTCCCCTGCTCGAAAGCCAGTCAAATCCGACTCTAGGGTTGCGGTGCTCATCTCCGTTTCAAAGCCGAAGAGCCAGCACTGTCCGAAGACGTTTCCGTGGTCATGTGGCCGGCATGACTAAACACCAAGGCGCACGGAATGCTGTTACCTTCCCACCAAAGCAGTACCTATTTATCTACTTGCAATTTCTTGCTTTCGAACTGCTAGGTTGGCAGGAGCTGGAACTAGAGATGGGAGCTCACTCCATCATGCGGCACCCGGGTCTCGAACTGCTGAACTACTGACCTTCCACAGCCTGCAGTTCAGCGTCTTAACCACTTGAGCCACCGCAGCTCCTTATAAAACCCTCTAGTGCAATATAAAAAGGTAAAGTGTGCAAATGAGTTGCAACTGACTCATGGCTACCCCATGAAGTTCCATGTCATAGGGTTTTCAAGGCAAGATATGAGCAGAGGTGGTTTAGCATTCCCTTCCTTTGCAAAGTCTTCCTTGGTGGTCTCCCATCCAGGTATCAACCCTACCTAGCTTCTGAGCTCTGATGAGATCAGGTTAGCCTGGAATAGTAAGGCTGCTACATTAGTACAATCTAGTAACGATGATACAGTAATCAAGGAAAATTAATAACCTAGTTAAACCCTCAAATAGATTCAAAAACTCAATTTGATTCCGTAAAGATTACTAACATCTATAGCTATACAGTTCAAAATGACCTGTGAAAGTGCAATAGAACAGGAATGACAGACAGAATTTTCCCCAGTATATTACAGAAGTCTGTAGGTTCATTAAGAAACACTGATCACATTTCAACCCTTTTCAGTGGCTAGATGGTAACAAAAAGGACTGCTGTTCCTCATCTGTAGCCCGTCCTCTGAGGAAGTCAAGAATATCTTCTTTCATAATCATTCCTCCTTGCATTTCATATTTGATTTTTTGGGTTGCCTTTTATTTTTGCCACGAGTTTGATGAGATAGATAGTGCACATGACAGGCATTGTGGAGGGTAGAAAAGCACGAGAGTCCAGTAGCACCTTAAAGACTAACAGAATTTGTGGCAGGGTAGGAGTTTTCGTGAGTCACTGCTCACTCCTTCAGAGCTGTGGAGGGTAACAGTCACTCTGGCCTCATTATTACCTTGATCTGCTATGAAGATGGTCGGGGGGGGGGAGGGCGGAGGAGCAGACTTCAGGTATCTGGCAAAGGGAGTTTGACTCTCAAAAGCCTATGCCTCGGTCATCTTCTTGGTCTCTGAGGTGCCACTGGTCTTGATTCTTGCTCTTCTATAGCAGGCCAACATGGCAACCTTTGGAAATCATGTCCAGGGAGCATGCCCCTTGTAGGAAGGCACAGGGTCCCCGAGCAGAGAAGCCTTGTGTGAATATGTATGTAGAGACAGTCGGGGGAAATATAATATAAGGAAAGGTCAACTCTAAAGGAGGCCAACTGAATGGTGCTGATCTGCTCCAATCCCCCAAATAATATTACGAAGTGGCGGATCATTTTGCAAACTGAAACAGAGACAGTGAACTCACCGTTTCCTCCTCCTTGCTGAGCAGTTTGGCACAAGACAGAAAATCTTCATACTTGGCGTATGGGATAACTGGTTCTGGGAGCTCTCTGAGGTACAGTTTCAAAAGCGACGCCACGGTGTGCACATCTGTGTTTCTGTGGGGACAAGAATGGAGAAGGTGATCACTAGGGAGGGATGTCAGATATCTAAAAGATCGGTGAAGAAATCTTCCAGGACTGCTGAGGAAAGTGGGAATCAGATCAAAAAGATGTTAGAATCAGAGAAGTCTCGCTAATTCAGGGGCCTCCAACCTTTCTGAGCCTGCAGGCATCTTGGGAATTTTGACGCAGCGTGCTGGGTGCGGCCATAAAATGGCTGCTGCAGGAGGTATAGCCAGCTACAAAATGGTGGCCCCAGCTTACCTCCAGTGACACAGTGAAGAGCCTTGTGCTGTGGTGGCGGCTGCTCCCATAGCAACATTTTTGAAAATTTGCACAGTCAATCAAATCTCCTGTGGCCACTCGGAAGCCTCACTGGCCAAAAGCTCCACCGAGCCACACCCACTTTCTAAAAGCAGCTGGTGGGCACCAGAAAAGGAGTTGGAAGGTGATTGTAAGCTGCTTTGAGACTCCTTAAAGTAGAAAAAAGCGGGGTATAAAACCAACTCTTCTTCTTCTTCTTCAATGATGGCTGTGCCCACATGCCTTATAAAATGGCTAAACATTGGCTGCAGGTTGGCCACTGCCCAAGGATTCTTGAACTTAGTGCTACTTAAGTTACCTGTGCAAGGCTATTCTTTGCATGGCTTTAGAGATCCCACTGCAGAGCTAATAAGAGAACTAAACTGAAGGGTCTCTCTAGTCCAGCCTCCTCTTCCCCCAGAGTTGCTGGCAAAATGCTTCCAGAAACCCACAACCAGGGCATGAAAACAGCTGCCTTGCTGGGTTTGCCCTTCAGAAACTGGTCTACAGAGGCACACTACCTCTGAACATGGAGGTTTCATTTAGTTGTAGTGGCCAGCAGCTAAGAGACCCAGTGACAGATAGATGATGATGATGATGATGATGATGATGATGATGATGATAGATAGATAGATAGATAGATAGATAGATAGATGATAGATAGATAATAGAAGAATAGATAGATGATAGACAGACAGAAAGATAGGCAGGCAGGCAGGCAGATGGACAGACAGACAGACAGACACACAGACAGACAGACAGATAAAGCCATCTAAAAACCCCATTACATCTTGTGATAGTGATTTCCATACATTAACAGTATGTTGCCTGAACACTTACTTCTGTCTGTCCTGAATCTACTGTTGATCGATTTTGTTGTCTGGCCCTGAGTTTTAGTGTTAGGGAGAGGGGAGATATGTCTTCTCTATCCACCCTCTCCAGTTATCTACACATTTCTTGGCAAATGTTTGTAGCTTGGACTCTCTTCAAGCATACTCATTAATACACACCACAACTTGTTTTTAATGAGTCTGGCAGGTGTAAGTAAAGGTAAAGGTTCCCTTGCTCGAAAGCCAGTCGAATCCGACTCTAGGGTTGCGGTGCTCATCTCCGTTTCAAAGCCGAAGAGCCAGCGCTGTCCGAAGACGTTTCCGTGGTCATGTGGCCAGCATGACTAAACACCAAGGTGCACGGAATGCTGTTACCTTCCCACCAAAGTGGTACCTATTTATCTACTTGCAATTTCTTGCTTTCGAACTGCTAGGTTGGCAGGTGTAGGGACTTGCAAATGATGCTGTAGCCCATTGTGGCCACTAGATGGTGGTGTTGTAAAATGAGATTGTAGGAAACACGCTTCCCTGCCAGGAAAGGTTCCACCTGTAAGGTTATTTCTGCACTGGCTTTAAAAGGGAATTGTGAAGGAATCCGTTGAGGTCCCCTAATGAGACAGGAGCTTTTCCTAAGGCAGGGCTTTCATTAATAAAATGCCAGGATTCAAAGGTGCCTGGGACTTGTCATCTCTGATTTGCCTCAGTGTAACACTTCATGCACGTGAGGAAGTGGGATCCGGATAGTGTAACTCAGGCTGTGAACCTGTCTGGTGCCACAAATCTCTCTCTCCGGATCTGAAGATCCCCTCCCACCCCAAGTGGGGAAGCTGGCTGCAGTCCCTAAATATTGAGAGTATAATAATAATAATAAAACCATTCACAACCATCCCATAACTCCCTTAAGGTTCACATTGCAACTTAAACCACCAATGTCACCCAAATTCCAATTTCATACAGCATTTAAAGCAATAATAGCTCTCGAATAAAAACTGTTTTTTAATCTGTTTGTCCTTGTTTTAATTGTCCTATATCTTCTCCCCGAAGGCAGCAGTTCAAACAGGGAGTGTTCAGGGTGTGACAAATCCTGCAGAATGAACTGAGAAGGGGAGGGGCTTCCTATTAAAGCCCATGCAATTAAGCCCTCACCTCTCTTTTTAAGGGAGGGTGTCAGTGGGAAGAAGAAGCAGAAGAGTTGGTTTTTATACAACCCCACCCTTTTCTGTACCCTTTCGTCGTCATTGTTGTCGTCGCACAGTCGAGTCCGAGTCTTCGCGACCCCATGGACCACATCACGCCAGGCCCTCCTGTCAGGACTCTCAAAGTGGCTTGCAATCACCTTCCCTTCCTCTCCCAAAAACAGACACCTTGGGGGGCAGGTGGGGCTGAGAGAGTTCTGAGAGAACTGGGAATGGCCCAAGGTCACCCATCTGGCTTCCTGTGGAGGAGGAGTGGGGAATCACCCCCCTCCCTCGTTCTCCAGATTAGAGTCTGCCGCTCTTAACCTCTACACCACACTGGGAAGGCAAAGGTGTGCAAATGTTCCCCTCTTTGATAGTGGCCACTGCCTCCACAGGGGGAGTACTGGGAACGCTTCGTCCTGTGGCTGTTGCATAGGGTTGCCACTCCAGGTTGGGATATTCCTGGATTTGGAGCTGAAGCCTGGAGAGGACAGAGTCTATGGAGGGGAGGGGGCTCCGCTGGGATGGGAGGCCATCCGGTCCACCCTCCAAAGCTGCCATTTCCTCCAGGGGAAGAGATTACCGTAGCCCGGAGATGACTTGTAATTCTAGGAGGTCTCCAGGTCCCACCTGGAGGTTGGCTACCCTTCTGATAGCACCTTGAAAAGAGGCAGTTTACAGCACCTGGATGCCTCCTTCTGTGGGTGTTTCACCAAAAAGGGGAAAGATTGAACATTTTGAGACACCCCCTCCCCCGGAATGCTAATCTTTCGGAAAGAAGGCTGTGCCCCCCTTCCCATGGCGAAAGATTAACTGCATAGCAGCTCCCCCTGCTCATCAACAGTTTCTTCTTCACTGCTGATATACAACGTAATTCCTGAAGAGCTCTGTCTGAAACAAGCCTCAGTGCATGTTAATCCTCACCCCAAAAGTTGACATCTCATTGCTGACCTTTTATCCCTCCGCCCTTTTTACACCGAGTTGGCAGTTCCAGATTCTTATTCATTTTTTTCCTACACCAGATATTCATGAAACACCAGACACTCATAAAAAAGATATCCGTTAGATAAGTCCTGCAGGGCTCATGTGTCATCTGACAGCTGGTTCTACCAGGATGGGGCCACCACAAAGAAGGCCTTTGTCCCGGTGGGTGGTAGGCGAATGTCCGAGAGGCCAGGGACCAGAAGCAAGTTGTGAGTTGAAGGACATAAATTTTGAGGAGGAACATGTCGGAAGAGGCAGTCTGCCAGGTATGAAGGCAGGGTTGCCAGGTCCTGCCTAGTCCTCGGTGGGGGAATTTGGGGGGTGTTTCTGGAGGGGGCGGGGATGATCTGACACAGAAGTGACATCATCACATTGGGGACCAGTGCCCCACGTGCCTGCACTCCAGGCGGTGAATCCGCTGCTTGGAGTACATGCGTGTCCCCTCCCACTTCTTGCCAAAAGCATTTAAAGGATCCCTTTAAATGCTTTTGGCAAGAAGGACGTGGGGTGTGTGTGTGTGCCTGAATTCCAAGCAGCAAATTTGCCACTTGGAGTTCAGGCATGTGACTAGTGGCCGCCCCTCGCCCTCCTGCAAGATTTAAAGGGCCCTCCAGCTGACTGGTGGGCCATGTGCTCCCACTGATCAATTGGAGGACCCTTTAAATCTCACAGAAGGGATGGAAGAGATGTGGCCACTGGTGGATGCTGTTGGGGTCGGGCTTGGGACGGGGGGCTTTCCCCACCGGCTAATTGACCAGGGGCAGGCAGGAGCCCATGAAATTGGGTAATCCCCCCCCCACCTGGGGACCAGCATCCCTATATGAAGACCTCAGACTATTTAAGGCTTTAAAGATAATCACCAGCACCTTGGATTTTATTTGGAACTCAATCAGCAATCAGTGCAACATTTCATGACAGGATAGGTATGCTCTCTCCAAAGAGAACCCTTATGTCTGGGGCAGTGATGCTCTGTCTTCTTGGTGCTTGGGAGGGGGGCAACAGTGGGAGGGGCTTCTGGAATTCTGGCCCCACTGGTGGACCTCCTGATGGCCCCTGGGTTTTGGCCACTGTGTGACACAGAGTGTCGGACTGGATGGGCTATTGGCCTGACCCAACATGGCTTCTCTTATGTTCTTATGTAACCCTCCAAGAGCAATCTTGCCACTGCATTCTGGACTACCTGTAGTTTCTGAATTGCCTTCCAGGGCAGCCCTATATATACCACATTGCAGCAGTCTAAGCAGGAGATGACCGTGGCATGATTCACTGTGGCTAGATAAGAATGGGACTGGTATGGAGACAGTTGGTGGCCTTGGCACAAATAGAAAAACACCATCCTCGCCACTGCTGACACCTGCCTGTCCAGGGACAAGGAGGAGTCAAGCCAGACCCCCAAGCTCTTAACAGAGTCTGCTAATGAAAGTTGGACCTCATCAAGAGCTGGAAGCTGAAGGGCTGTCGCTCTGGCAATGGGACTCCACACAGCCCCGTTGCCAGAGCAACGCAGAGCGTCACATCCTGGCGACGGCGGGTGCGGCGCGTGGAGCCGTCCCCGCGGCAAGGCTCCTGCCAAGAAATACGATTCCCCCGCCGGACCTTGGTAAGCCTATCCGGCTCACACATTTTTGTCTTAGCTCAGGAAGGATGGCTCCAGAGCAAACTAATTTATGCAGTAGCCAAATCACTTGCTCACAACTTTCAT